TGCCCTGCACGAGAGGCAGTGCGTCGCGTAAAAGTCGATGCACCGCTCAATGCGTGTTGCACCCTTGGACCGGGCGTACATGCCCGGGTAGAACGTTTCCAGGACCTCGGTGGCCAGCCGGCGCATGCGCCCGAACTGCTCCGCGACGAGCTCGGGCTGCGCGTGCACGCGCGAGACCTCGGCCTCGCACACGGGCCCGAGCGTCGCGAGGTACCACAGCGGGAGCCAGGTGAGGGCCCGCTTGGCCTTGGGGTCGTCGAGCGCGGCCAGCATGTCCACGGGCGGCGCGACTACCATGTACCACTGGATGGCGGCAAGCTTGCACTCGTCCGGGACGGCGGCGGTCGTGGTGGTGGCGGTGTCCATTGTTAGGTAGTTTGATGTGCTTAGTAATACACTAGTGCGAGTGTGACTGAAATTAAAAAGTGTCGCGCGCTTTTCTATTTTTTTTTTTTTTGCTGTTGTCTAGCACGTTTGCTCGTATCGGTCAATGAGCGCACGGCGTTCCCGGTCCAGCCCCGCATCGTAGATCACGCTCCCGAGCCCGGCGTGCAGGTCCCTGGTGGGGTCGGCGCGCGGCCGGCAGACGATAGGGCACGAGGGGTCCTTGAGGTTTGCGTGGATGGGCTCGATCGGGATGTCGCCCCTGAAGAAGTCGGCCACGGCCGAGTTGCGCGAGCGCCGCGGCAGCGACACCAGGTTCCGGTCAATGATAATGTCCTGGGTGTCCTGCACGCCGCACGTCGGGTCGTACCCGCCGCCGCAGCCGCCGCCGGGCGCCTGCTCGCCGTACCCGTACTCGATGGGTGTGTGTCCCATCTGGCCCACGAGCGCGTCCGCGCCCGTGACCGCCGGCTGCACGACCTCGGTGGTGGAGTACCGGCAGTCGGACGGCCTGCTGCCGGGGACCTTTGTGCACCGCAGAGTGTTCTGTGGGATTGTGGGGGCCGGCATCTGCCGGTGGGTCTGGTACGGCACGTAGGCCTCCGTGGTGGGGTTCCGCATGTACATGTACCAGTAGACGCCGCCCGCGAGAGCCGCAAGCACCACGGCGTACATGAGGTAGGTTGTGTTCATGCTGCTGGTCTGCTAAACTGTCCTGCTTTCATTGGCAGGCGTGCATCGTTTAACCAAAAAAAAAAAATCCCCCGCATTTTTCCACAGATTTCGCGAACCCTCTAAATTTTTTTTTATTTTTTTTTTTTATTACCACAATGAAAGATTAACGGATTTGTTGGGAACGAAAAACAAAACCCACCAATTATACAACATGTCGGTATCCGAAGATAGCGAGAACATTAGACGCACCCGCGGGGAAATCGAAGAGGCGCGCGAAGAAGCCAAGCAAAGGGATGCGCGGCTGGCCTTTGACGCGGCGTATACAGAATACCTTCTTATAGCCGAACCCCTGGTGGAATTCTACAAGGAGCACGACTTTTTCAAAAATTTCAAGATCGCCCCGGTGAGCGAACAGTACTTTGTCCCAAACACCCTACCGGTGCCCATCTCATCAGACATCGTGCAGACGCTTTCCCGGAGCTTTCAGGATAAACCCATTTCAGCTGAAGAAAAGGAGCTTCTCAAAACGCCAACGGACGTGATGCGCTTTCGCAGCGCCATGGTCAATGGGTTGTACATTGGGATGGATGGATTGCCCTATGTGTTCAATGTGCACAACGCCAACAAGCCCACCTTGGGTAAGCTGAACCGTGTGATGTTGAACGGCCGAAGCTACAAGTTCAACTGGAAGAGTGCCGCAGTGCGGCCGTTCTTTTCACCAAGCCGGGAAGACTACGACGACCGGCTCATGTACATCCACTCCAATGGCACGATGTTCCGTGTTGCAAAAGGGAACATGCTGAACGGGATACAAACCTACAGGTGGATAAAGATCCCTGTAGAGGCGTCGTGTGGCGATACCAAGGTTGGGTCCAAGCCCAATGAGATCAACTTCACCACCAAGGGGTGCACCCACGCAGACTTTAGGGAGTTCTCGAGAAGACACCATAAGTCGTCCGATAAGTCCCGCACGTTTGCACTCGACTGGCGTGAAACTCAGTTCGGTAAGAACGGGGGGATGATCGTAGCCCGCATGATAAGAGACGAGGACATTGAGGACGATTTGGAGAAGCTGGCAGCCGCCAGTTTGTACCCAGATATGTACACGCGAGACTTTACCGCACGACCCATCCAACACTCCCTCGACTTTACCGATCCCAACGCCGATTTCAAAAAGTCGCGCGAAATGAGCCGGCTGTACCGCAGTGTGCGTCTGGGTAAGTCGATGATCCCCCCATCTCTGGATGGAAATATTATAAAGGCCGGAACGCTGGACTTGACACCGGGTGGCGACATGATGGTCCTTCAGAAGCGCAGTCGCCCCGACAAAACGCCATACTTGAAGTGGATGAAGGTGCGCCACCTGAAGATCAAACTTACCAGAGACCAGGCGATCGTGCGTTTCGCCGTTGATGACGTGGTGTCGGAACAGAAACTAAAACTTACTCCCGAGGTACGCGACAAGCTCGAGCGGTTTGTTGACAGCCCCAAATACTTTCTCCAGCACAAAACAAAACCCAGGGCACAGTCCCAGAGAACCACAAAGAAGAGCGCCGTGTTGGGCACCAAGGTGAAGGCCTCTGAAGTATCTCGCAAGCTCAAGACCGGCTGCAAACCAACTGTAGCAGACAATATGAATTTGGAGCCAAACCAGTATGCGAACGTACTCACTTCACCCAACAGTCTGAGGAGTCACATGCGTATCGACGACTTGACAAGCGACATCCAGGTGAATATAGAAGAACAAAAAAAGACATCCCTAAAACTGTCAAAATGTCGCAGAGATATCGTGCCGCCAAAGTCACCAAAACCACGCAGAGCGGGGTCACAGGCTCGAATCGCCAGCAGAGGGGAGTCGTCCTCAAGGAGATCCCAGAGTAGTCCATTGCCCGAGTCTGCAGAGGATGATGAGTCCGTAACAGACTTCAATTGAAATAACTGAAATGACGATCAGTCAGGCCTCACCAATCGCCCCTAAAAAAAAAAAAGACACACACACACACACACACACACACACACACACACACACACACACACACACACACACACACACACACACACGCGCGCGCATATATATATAAATACCACAGATGCACATCCGGAATATGTACATGTAGTACAATCTACATATTCACGACGTCTTGCCTTCTATACCGAGCCCTAGCAACCATGTCCGAGCCCATCGACTGCACTCGACCCAGATCCAGTCGTTCCACAACCCCCGAACTCCCCCCTGCCGAGGAAGCCCTCGGTCAGCTCACCCAGCGGTCTCTCTCGGGTACATCGTTCCCGGGCACACCAAGCAAGTGTCAGACGGTCTGGACTCCACGCCTGACCCCGAAGCGTTTACGGCCGGCCTCCGCGTCCTCGTGCATTGCGAATGCGATCCGCGCGTCCCAGCCGCACATTGCCATACAGCGGCTCGCCCCCGGCGGTACACCGGTGCCCCAGAGCATGCTGCCCACCCTCAGAGCCGTGCTGAACCACCGGGCCTTTGCCTTCTTCTTTGCCGCCCGTGCCCGCGGCTACTACGCGTCCGCCACGGCCGCGGAGCTGGACTCCGTCTACACGGCCAGTGTCGCCGTTGTGACGCAGTACTATCCTATAGAACCCGATCGCCAAATCGCCGCTGAGATCTACGCAAACAACCGCCCACTGGGCGATACGACGCAGCTCCCCAAGCTCCCCGGGGCCCTGCTGCCCTACCTACACATGTCCAGCCACGACCTGGACGCGGACCTCAGAGTCCCGTATCTCTACCGCCGCCTGCTTACCATGAACACGCCCGCAGAGTGGGAGGCTGTGGTGCGAGAGTCGCTGGTCCTGTTTGAGGAGCATGCCATGCTGGCGGAGCTCTGGAGCACGGTGCTCGCGGCCCCCGCCCACGACGCGTTCGTTACCCCCGCCTGGACAGCCGTTATCGCGGCCCCCGACCATCGCCTTGTGCTGCTGTTCCAGAAGGCCGATCTCGACAACAACCGCATCCTGCTGCAGCTGGGCCGCATAGCCGTGGCCACGGGGTGCCCCTTCTATGTCCTGTGGTACACGCGTTACCGAGACCTGCCGCTCCCCAGCTATCTGGCGCTGACGACGATCGAGGGCCTGGACAAGGTGCTCTGCTTCTGCGCGTACCTTGACCCGAGCCAGGACAGGTGGGCGGACGAGGTCTACATGGATCCCGTGACGCCGGGCGATCGGGAGAAACTGTCCGACATTGGCGTCTTTGTCAGAAATTCTGTTCACGGAACAAACCCCTACGTATCGCTGTGCCCCCTGGACAGGCGGACCTGGGATGGCCGGAAAATGGACCTGCTCGCCACCTGCCGCCGCTTTGGCCCGGCGGTCAGAAACACAATCGCTGTCCCACCCAGCTACGAGAAGCTCATGGAGATGTTTGTGCTCCCCGAGACGGACGCCGACTGGCACACGTGCATTGACGAGCTGGGGCGCTTTTTGATGAACACGTGGCACTTTAGGCAGTATGTAGAAAAATTACCTTGGTAACTAAATAAACGTTCAAAAAAAAATAAAAATTGTCCACCCTTACGCGATATGTAGTCATGCACCACCCCAAGCTCTCGCAGCTTGCGCTGACGGAGCTCGTGTACCGGCGGGACCAGGAGGCGTTTGCTCCCTTCGACGACACGGTAGTCCAGTTCATACGCCCACACCTCAAAACGAAGCCAAGGTTTGTTCCGATGAGACTCCTAGTTGAAATAAACGGGAAATGGCGCGCCGGGCTCGTGGTAATCTCTGCCCTTGATAAAGTCGTTGAGATCCTTGTCACAACCGTGCGTGAGCTACCTTTTAGCAAGGTCACTATCGCAAGGGCCCTGGCTCGTAGCCTGCAAATCGAAGTGTCGCACAAACACATTGTCCTGGTGACTGTACCACCCTTTGCCGCACGGAACGCGCTTGCCTATATTACCCTATACTACCAGCTCCGGTACGTAGAAGAGCTGCTTTTGAGTCCAGGCGAGGCCACCAGAGTCCTGGGTGACATTGGGCGCGAGGGCTTATCTGTATTCCAAGCTGCCTTGGACAGATTCAAGGCCATGTATACGATACGACCAGTCAACAACACTGCGGTGGTACGGGTTGGCCATCCAATGCTGGCGCCGGTGAGGATGTCAGACGACTGGCCGGACAATTGGCTTACCGACGAGCGTACAGTTCTTGCGCAGGTACCAGCATTCCTTGCCGCACAGTACCGCTTGGAGGTGATACTGCCCGACACCTACAACGTGCTAAAATTTAAGTCCCCGGACGACGACTCTTTTAAATCCTACATCACGCGACGTTGGGTTGACGTTATCTGCAAACTCTACCCCGGCACATGTCGCGACATAACAAATCTCGAGCTGTATTATGATCTTACTAGTGAGGAGCTGGTGGACGTGGGTGGTACAGTACAAGCCGTAGAGGCATGTAATGCGCAAGACGCAGTTCGCTACATCTTTATAAGCCTGAGTATCCACACATCCAACGAATCCCACCACGCAAACATGCTTGTGTTCGATACACAGACGCGGTTCGTGGAACGCTTCGAGCCCCACGGGCATCGCGTGTTCAGCTACAAAATCGACAAGTTGGAGGATAGCCTTGCTGCGTATATGGGCCACCTTGGGTTTCGCTACCTACCTCTAGAGCTGGCCTGTCCCAGAATCGGCCCTCAGCGTAGGGACACTTTGGACAATGGGTTCTGCAATGCCTGGGCTCTGCTGTTTATCCATGTGCGGGTCGCGTTTCCCGGACTTGTGGTTGACGAGCTGCACGAGTTCTTCAATACCGTTTCACGCCACCGGCTACACGGCATCATCACAAGGTACGCCGAGGCCATCAATCTGTTTATGAGCGCCTACAGGACCCACTTTGTACATGGGGCCAGAGTTGTCTTACCCCTTGGTCCGCCACGCGTGTGGGTGATAGCAGCGTACAGTGGCGACGATGACACGGTATTGATAAAGAGAGGCAACGGAAGGACAAAGACGGTTCCGGTCGGGCATCTGATGCTTTCACATCCGCCCGCAGAGCTTATGGCGATGGGCCGGCTGGAAGTAGTACTGCCAGACGTGTACGAGGACTTTGTTGCATTAGACTCTAAAACATTAACTTTTTAGGGTTGGCGCGCAAATTATCTTTTTAGCTCTGGAATAAAATAATACAGTCAAAAAAATGTCCACGCTCGCCAGATATGCAGTCATGCACCATCCGCGGCTCTGGCGGTTTGCTCTCGCAGAACTCGTGTATCCGCGTGACCGCGAATCGCTGGTCCCCACAGAACTCGTGTATCCACACAACCTCGAATCGTTTGCCCCCTTAGACGACACAACGTCCCAGCTCCTGGGGCGGATCCCACAGTTCCTCGAACAAGAGCCGCGGTTTGTCCCAATCAGACTCGTGGTCCAGTGTGGCCCGAAATGGCGAGCCGGGCTTCTGGTGGTCTCTGCCGCCGATGCAACGATAGAGATCCTGGTCCCCACCTCGGGCGAGCTACCGTTTTCGGAGGAGACGGTCGCTGACGCACTGTACGACATCCTGCCGCTCGAGATCGGCGACTTCAACATTGTCCTGGTGACTGTACCACCCTTTGCCTCCCGGAATGCGCTTGCCTATATTACCTTCTACTACCAGCTCAGGTACGTAGAAGAGCTGCTTCTCAGTCCCAACGAGGCCACCAGAGCCCTGGAGGACGTTGGGCGCAAGGGCTTATCGGTATTCCGAGCTGCCCTGGACAGATTCAAGGCCGTGTATAAGAAACCCCCAGTGCCCGGCACCGAGGTGGTTAACGTCGGCGATTCACCCCCACTGCCACAGGTTGTGTCTGACGACTGGCGCCCAGCCCCGGGGTCCGTTTTCCTACAGATGCCACACGTGGTTGCAGTACAGCACGGGCTGCAGGCCATTCTTCCCGGTACATACAACCAGTTGAATTTCACGGCGCTTACCGCGGAGACGTACGCGTCGAGCTGGGCCACCACCAGGTGGCGTGACGTTATCGGACGACTCTACCCCAGTGCGTGTGCGTCCGTGAGCACCCTGGAGCTGTTTTATAATACCAACACGCGGCGGCTGTCGAACTGGGGTGGTATGCTGCGACTAGTAAGGGCGTGTAACGCACAAGATGGCGTGCGCTACATTTTTATAATCATGCATCTCCACAAGCCAGGTGACTGGGACCATGCCAACACCCTGATCCTCGATAAGCGCACGGGGAAAATCGAGCGCTTTGAGCCGCACGGGTGCAACAACCGGGTCTTGCAGCAGGAACTGGACGACCAGCTGTCGGCTTATGTGGCGAAGCGCCTGAGCCACCTCGGCTTCTGGTATGTCCCGCTGCACCTTTCCTGCCCGACCACGGGGCCCCAGCTGAGGAATCCAAGGGATGAGGGCTTCTGCAACGCGTGGACGATGCTGTTCCTGCACATCCGAGTCGCCTTCCCAGACCTGGCTATGGGCGAGATACACGACTACTTTGCGTCGATCTCACATCGCCAGCTCCAGAGGACGATCACCGCGTACGCCGGCGCCATCAACGAGTTTGCGGAGGCCTATGAGACCTACCTCGTGCCTGGGGCCAGAGTCGTGTCCGGCAGAGACCCGCGCTTGGTACGGGTTATTGCAAGCACAGTCAGCGAAGACCGTGTCTTGATCACGTACGGGGAGAACCAGGAGAGGACAAAAAACATGGACGTGCGGTGGCTCATGCTGCTAGACATCCCGGCCGAGCTGATGGTCCGAGGCCGGCTGGGCACCATACTGCCCGACATGTACGCGGACTTTATGGCCATGGCGGCCTCTGGCCACGGCCGACGCGAGCGAAAGCGAGACCGGAACTATGGCGATTATGCGAGCGAAAACGACGACTCTGACTAATTATTTTTTTTCTTTTTACACAGGGGACATTTCACCTTGCGTGTCAGTTTTACACAGGAGACATTGACAGCATGCAGATGACACTCCACTGTTCGGACGGGCCGTGCACGGTGGACAGCGTTGTCGCGCTGAGCTCGGTGGTCATCTACAGCCAGCGCGTCCACGGCGGCCCCTTCGGCGTCTACGTGCCCTTCCCCGCGCAGGTCGTGGCGGCCGTCGTGGGCCTGGCGGGGAAAGACCCACTACACGCGGTGGCCGTGTTCCAGGACCACGGCTACGCGAGCCTTGATGTGGCCCAGTGGCTCGAGCTCCGACTAGAGCTCTCGGGCCTCTTGGACGCGCTCGGCCAGCACGTAAAGGCGCTCTGGACGTGGGCGCCAAAGTGCAACCTCAGTATCTCGCCGGGGCCGTTTGAAGTGGCTGACTGGGCGCTCGAGGCCCTCATTCAGCGGTCCGGGCTGACTCCGGCTATGCTTCTGCTTCCCGATGCCCCGCCGCTTGCGGTGGAGCGCTACGTGTACAACCACCGGGCCGCGTTTGGCATCCCACTCCCCATCATGCCACCATGGTACGCGACGTGGACGCAGTACGCGAGGGCGATGCAGGAGACGAGGTGCTACGTCTGTGGTGCGGTACCCCAGAAAGGCATTGCGGCGACGTGGGTCCTGGGCCTCTGCGCGCAGATGTGTAGCAAGCACTACCCGATGGATGTCCCAAAGCTTCATCTGGAGCTGATGGACGCGTACGTGGCCACGCTGGACCTTGCGCCAATCGACGAGAGCGTCTCGGTGGAGGTGTCGAAGCTGCCGCTGTACCTCGGCGACCTGCCGCGGGGGCGGCTGGGGGTCGGTGTCGCGGACGTGCCCCTGGTGGAAATTATACGACACAGAAGCGGCCTCACCATGTGTGACGACCTCCTCGACCTGCTAGTGTGTACATGATGAAAAATAAACTAGTAGACTTGTGGGATATTATTATTTTTATTATTATTCTTATTATTATTATAATGTTGACCTTTATTGAGAAAGCCCCGCAGGCGTGCCTCAAAAGACTTATCATAGTGATTGGGTGTATTGATTCGCAAAGTATACCGAC